CCGTCGATTTTATTATGATGCTGAGTTTCAACACATCTCAGGTACTGTTACTTGTTCTATTGATACCAATGTTGTCGAGGTCCTTCTTCTTTAAGTCCCTGGGCGTCTTCGTTTGTTTGTTCGTTTCAAGATTGCCTTTTTGCAGAGTTGCTAATAATTTTTCTCAGATCTGTCGGAAGAATGTTTATATTGCCTCGCGAATCCTCAGCATATATGTCGCATGAGCCATAAGCCAACTAGATACCTGAGTTACTAAGTCTATTGTAAGTAGCTTCTGTAAATTCTGCACATGCCTCATGAAACCAGAACTTGCACTTTTCACGTCGCAAATCACATGTTACAGCAAAGTGACATCCAGGTCGCTTGTATATGATCTTAGTGATCATGATGAAATGTGAGTTGTTAACCAAATTCTAGACAAAGTTTACGACTACGCGAATGGCAATGTACTCAGAACGAACCGTCTAAAAAGTTAAGTCAGATCAGAATTTATCTCGTCGTGTAAAACCGTAAACACGGTATGGCTAAGACAAAACCACAGCTAAATACTGACTCAGATAAAACTTAAAAAGATTCTCTTGACTAAAAAGAGCACTTTTTGAGTACTGGAACAGTAAACGTTTGAGGAATATAAATAACGTATGTATAATACTTCTGTTCGTAAAGAGCTCGTTAGTTTATTTTTACAGAATATTATTATGATGATTAGAAGTATCCACACTGTTGTAATGACTATGGTTCTCAAAATAATGCAATTTACTGAAAGTAGAACCAAAATGAGCATACTAATGAACGTGCTACATTTGGAAATTCGTAATCAGCGGTAATTATATCTTCAGTCTTCAGTAATAAGGACAGTAGGTTGGTGAACCTGTGTTAATCCTGACAGATTGCTTCCTAGTGAAGGTTCAGTTTCTTCTTGAAAATATTCACCGATGGGGCTGATACCACTTGTTTGGGTAAGGCGTTCCAGTCATTGACTACTCGATGAGAAAAACGGGACCCCACTTTAGGTTTATTAGGTCGCGGTTTGTGAACCTTCTTGCTATGACCTCGGAGATTATTAGTGCTAGAGGGCTCAAAAAGACAAAACATATTAACACCCAAATCATAATTGAAGATACGAAATGCCAGTGTAAGGTCACCTCGCGTCCTACGATACGACAAGGGGAAAAGCTTTAGGTATTTTAAATGCTCATCGTAAGGGAGTTTAGAAAGACCATTCACTAATTTCGTTCCCACACGCTGGACACGCTCAATTGAGTTAGTATCTTTTACCAGATATAGGCTAGCGGCTCGGATACACTACTCTAAATGTGGTCTTATATATGTGGGATATAAAATTCGAAACATTTCCTTGTCAAAAGATTTTAACACTCGGCGAAGTGACCATAACGCACGAAAACCTTTGACAGCGGTCGCGTTGCAATGCGTAGTTGTTTTTAATTCATGACTTATCATTACTCCTAAGTCTTTATGTTCTTGAAGGCGTGGAAGAGGTTTACCATCAATAGTATAAAGGTAACTATTACCGTGACCGATATGCAATAGCACACTCTTCCTATAATTTATTTCTAAGCTCCAATCTCGAGCCAATCTAACTAAATCGTCTAAGTCAGCTTGGAGATCCAGATTTTTACGTCATCCGCAAACAATAATGTCGACCACCTAAGCAACAGCGGTAACCCATTAACGTAGAGAAAGAAGACCAGCGGGCCTAAGATGATGCCTTGGGGTACACCACTTTTGACCGGCTCCCAATGGGATAACGTTCCATTGACCCTCACTCTCTGTCTGCGGTCACATAAGAAGTTTTCTATCCACTCCTGCACAGCATATATTATTCCGAAGTTCGAGAGATTCTGCATAAGACTTAAGTGTGAAACCTTATCAAATGCTTTTCTAAAATCTGTGGATATCATATCGACAGACAGGCCTTTATCTAAGGCTGCTGTCCAATCCTCTCTCGCAATAAGAAAGTTAATCAAACATGAACACATGTTACAGAACCCATGTTGCTCGGGAGTTAGCAGATTGTGTGAATCTATGTGATTAAGTAACTTAACCCGAATTATCTTTCCAAGTAACCTAACGACTATGCCAGTTAAACTGACAGGCCGGTGGTTAGATACGATCTGCATCTGACCATACTTAAATACAGAAGTGACTATAGCGTGTTTCTAATCTGTAGGGGGTTGAGCGGGTGGAATGGACATGTTGAAGAGCGATGCGAGCTGTCTTGAAATAATGTCCGCAAGAGATGACAGCAGCCGTGGATGTAACCCGTCAGGGCCCCGCATCTTACAAGGTTTGAGGTAAGTTATCAACAGAAGGACAGTTACCACAGTCACCTGTACAGATTCAATGCCTGGTATCTCGATGTGATTGGGACAAGTATTTTTTTACAATAAACGTAGGGTAGACTTCGCTAAAATAGTTTTAAAAAGTCTCAGCTTTTGCCCGATCTGATTCAGTTAGTAAATCTGAATTTTCGTGTAACAGTAACGGGGGAATACCATCACTACGCTTCATTCGCCGTTTAACATACGAAAACAATCGTTTCGGACAAGTACGGCTATCATATAGCAACTGTCGTCTGTAAGTAGTACGGGATTTAGCTATGGTTTTCTTACAAATATTCCGGACTTTTCGGTACTCAAGCAATGTGATAGCTTACGTGCTGACCATGGGATAAACAGCGACGTTACGGACTAGAATGCAGCCCTAAACTTGTTCCATTCGTCTTCGATCGATCCTTTCGCGTCGACCGACCAATCAGTCGAGATAGCATAGTTTTTGATTGCCAGAATATTAGCTAACCAGATATTGGGACGGGATGGAGCAGATACAAACTGTATACCATGTGTCCTAAACTTAAAGTGAATTACAACGTGATCACTGTTCACTACTGGTGGAAGGTGCTGAATATCAAAGACATCCTCATAGTGGTAGGTGAGGGCGAGGTCCAGCAGTGACCGATCATGTTTCAAGTCAATATATGTCGGTTTTGCAATACATTGTGCAAGCGCACACTGAATAACAGTTGATAAAAGGCCTCTATCGAAACCACCACCTGGAGCTGTAACCTCTATCCATTTGGTATGCGGTGTGTTGAAGTCCCCAGTGATGGGATAACATTCTGCCATACTCCAAGAACAGATGTGTCTTAATATAAAATCGTCAGCAAGACAACACGGACTATGGTATATTCCCCCCATAGTCACTAACCCATTTCTAGATTTAATCTTGCAGCATGCTACCTCACAAGTACCACTAACATGATTGATTGTATACGAAAGTGATCCTTAACGTATGACATTATGCCTCCCTCCTTGTGACTTTAAACGCTATCACTTCTAATGCAGATATAACCCGCAATGATGAGATAATATTTTGTAACATTCTATCTGTAATAACAATTATATCGGGACTTAATTCATCCACCATCAGACCTAGCTAGGACGTTTTATTTCTAAGACCACGGCGTTTGTGTAGTACGCACTTAGGGTGTTTTGGTAATCATTCGTTCTACCCATACAGGCCTCGGAAGCATTGGCATCCAGGACCTCACTACCCGAAAACCCTTAATGGTAAGGTTAGTTTAGCCATTTAACTTGCGAGTCCTTAACTCCGTAAGAGCATTCTTCCACTTGATTCGATCCTCAAGCGGCCAATCTGGTCGGATACGAATATTTGAGTCACGAGTTTTTTGTGCGTTCTTCAGTGATATATCTCTTTCCTCAAAATTCCCGAGAACCAGCTTCAAGATCTTTCTTGGTTGGGTCTCACCTTTAACCCATTTACCGAGTCGTATTACTTTCGAGATATGTACACCTGAAACCTCTTCAGGTAGTACATTTCTTATCACAGATTTCTTTAACTGCAGATCGTGTGTGTGTCGTTTCGGAGGGTCATTGTCTTTCGACTCCTCTAGATTCCAAATAATTAAACTAGGGAGGGGTTTAACTTCGTTGGAAATCGTATCCAGGGCTTTCGGTCGTGATGTTAGACCTTGCATATTAATCGCTGGCATATTACAATTAGCTTTTGTCGTAACAGGGTCATGGGAGTCGAGCGAGTGACTCACAACAATGTTTGACGAGGATTTACTTTTAGACTTTGGCAGAGTAGTCTGAGAGTGCACCAAGGACTTATCAAGTAAACGGGCATTAGTTTTAACTATGTTACCTACTGTTCTGCGTTTCCGCGTCATCCATTTTCCATTAGTCGTAGCATCGACACTAGAACTACTCGGGACAGTAATTGTTTTGCCTGGATCACTGGTCGCTGCTGTAGCAACATGGCCACCAATATCTAATGACGTGTCACCCACTGATTGTTTCGGGATAGAAGGTTCAATAGCGGGTTGCACAGCTAGATTTCTGGTTTGCGCCGTGAAAGCACTTACGACACTGACGCAGTCTTCACCATCAGTAAGAATGTTACCAGTAAAGCCCTCGTTGCAGTGAGGCTTAATCGGGTGCACATCTTATGGAACCGCTAATTACACTCATCACATCGCATCCCTTCCTCCACTGGGAATAAGCAATATGGTTGTCCACATTTATGAACAGAGCTGGCCATCTTGAGAGAATCAACTACAATGGTGACAAAAACAGGATATGTGAAAGAATTCTCAAACCTTAACCAAATAAATCAAGTAAAAGTCGACCAAGTATGCTTCGATACAATAAATACACAAAAGCAAAATCGAAACACCCAATACAATATCACTTTAACTGGAATAGATTCAATCGAAGTGTAAACAGTAGTTTTGATGCGTAATTTACGATCAAAACAGTTAATTAACTCAACATGAAACAATACCACTGTACTCTTAAATAGCGCGCTCGTACAAAGGAAATATTAGTTCGTAAAAATATCACAGTTAACATGCTGTGATACCTTTATAAGAATGAGCAACCAACCAGCTTCAGTACTCGATACCTCGCTCTCATTCATTTCCTGCTTATGGAGTATTGTAAGAAGATTGCTACCGAAAATCTTTGAACCCAGAACATAGTGGCTTCTAGAATGACCTTTAGAAGACTGATAGCTTCTAGTCAGTCTAGTAGCGGGAAATATGAATAAACAGTTGATGGGACAGGTGAAGTGAATCGCAAAGTAATGATGACTCCACAAACCCCTCAGTTATCCTTTGTAACGAGTTGGATAAAGAGGTTTTTCCATATGCTTTCAAAGTATTTTTCTAGAGAGTCTATATGTATTTGTAAGTAGTTTAGCGACCTAAACGAACGCAGTCGCGTAAATAACCATTCTCATTATCTTGGGGAAATTTTTAAGAACTTTGGATGAATTTCTGGACTTTCCCCAGTCGTAAGAAATATGGTAGTTTTCCCCAGACATTTTTGAGATTTCCCCAAAACTTTTGGGATTTTTCCCTGGTCTGGGAAATTTTTGGGATTTTTGTGCCGTTTCCCCAAAGTTTTCTGTAGCGATTTCCCCGGCGAGAGTATAATTTATAGATGAACCAATCATGTATAAGGTCTCGCATTTTGGCACGAAATTCACTCATCCATTCGGCTGGAAGGAGTTTTGGCTTTATAGCTGCTGTCAGTTGGTGTTGAAAACCCTAAATTTAATTTCTAACATTAATCATCAACTGTAAATCGTAGTTCTAATTCCTCAAACTGGTTCATAGCCCTCTTTTGATTCTGGTTCACGCGGACCGGGCACGATTTTCCTCAGAATAGGGAGATTGTGTACCTTTATAAAGATAACCCATATTTAAAGAGTTAGTTTAGTCGCAGTTAGCCAATGCGTCGAATAAAACCTTTGTTTCATAAACTTCTACTTTGAATGGAGAAGGAACTAATCCATTCTGATTGCATTCCTTCACCGCTGAGGATTTAATTAAATACCACCACTTGGGGGATTCAAAGGTTAATACGTACAACATAGGAGATGTGTCATTACCCGTAGTCCGGTCTCATAAGGACCTAGGGGTGACCGTGAGCAATGATCTTAAGACGACGGCCCATTGCCGGGAGGTCGCAGTTAAGGGGTTTCGAACCCTCTGGGCTTTAAAAAGGACATTCACTAAGCTTGATACTACCATGTTCACCACATTATACACATCCTTAGTGAGAACTAAGTTAGAGAACTGTGTTCAGGCTGCAAGCCCCTGTTTAAAAGGTGACTCAGACATACTAGAAAAGGTACAGAGGGCAGCTACGCGTGCGATTCCGGAACTCCGGGGTTTATCATATGAAGAGCGGCTTGAAAAACTGAACCTCTTTACTCTGTCCTATCGCAGACTAAGGGGAGATCTAATATTGATGTACAGAATACTGAGAAATGATTTCGGACCTAACTTATTCTCTCTCTTTCTTCCCACTAGATCGGGACACCTCAGAGGACATAGTAGGCGAGTAGAAAAACCAAGAACGAACAAAATACCTCTGGCATACAGGTTTTCACACCGAGTCATCAATACTTGGAACCTGCTGCCTGAAGCAGTGGTATCCGCACCTTCAATTGACTCTTTCAAGAGAAGACTGGACACTCACAGAAGCATACTAGAAAAGGAATAACATAGGCCGTAGGCCTTCTGTCCTTACTACACAAATCTGAAAAATCTGACAAATCTGAAATCTCTACCATACAATCACTTCGCGATCGTAGTCTCAGGTCACTAAAATTCCGCCATTTCGTAACAAGTTTGTTGTGCTTTCTAGACGAACTATTTGTACTGGGGTTAACTGTTTAAAAAACACGATGTATACTAAGTTCATTAAGTACTTCCCCCCTATTTTTACTAACATGACGTCATTGAGTAACGGTCCTATGAAAGTAGAATATACAGTTGGTTTCATACAGACTGTGGGTCTTCCTGAGTTGGTAGTTATATTTCCTTACTCCTTAGGCTTTCTTAATGAATCATAGATGTGGATTATTTCCCATTCCACTCGGTGTCTTGACTTTAGTTTGCCTAACCGTACACTGTAGCCTAATCGAAGTACCCTTCGATATACCTTTGTTTGATCCTGTTTGGCATGAACGTTTTTTTTTAAGGTTATCTACGTTTCTGGAAAGGAATCCAAGCGATTTTCATTACTGTAGCTTATATTTTGTTGGTTAAGGAACACTACCGTAATAATCATGTCATTTCCTGCGGCCGAAAATGTCATACCAGAGTCTCTCAAAGGCTACAAAGTCAATGTGTTCTGCTCACCATTGGCACTGCACACTTAATGTTAAGCGAAAGATTCTCAATCATTTACTTATATCTCGTTCAAAAAAGTTCGACTGGTTTTGCCTTCTTATCATCCTTCAAAATCAAGTCACATGGTCTTTATAGCTGGTAGGCGAATTATTTTCACCCATAACTTAATTCTCATACATAAAACCAGTTTTTAGTGTTACGACGGGTCACACTACTACAAGGGAGGTCGCGTTACTGACAGCGACTAATACCGTTTTAATTACTATCTCTGTGAAGTAGCACATACTTGTCCACCTTTGACCTAACCACTGCTGTGAATCCGGTGTTCATCTTGTTGTGCTGATGCGGTATGGCAACCTGGACCGATGCACATATGTGCCTGGTCCTACGTTGTAGCTGACTGATTGACTGATGCTGTACTGTCACCCTGAGATCCTTCAGCCGCTAAGGCTGACAGGGTGGCTGACCACTTTGTTGCCTATGATCGGTCTGGACGCTGAAGTAGTTGGGACGTCTATGAAAAAAGATCAGACAAAAATTAGGACAGTGGCACCCTTAAAAACACATCGATTGAGGCTGATTATTCCGATGACCATCAAGCAAATATGTAAATTGAAACCAGAGCAGGAATTGGTAGATCCAACACTTAAACATGACTAAGTAGACAAGTTTGAACTAGAAAAGGAAACGAAAGAGTTTAATGTAAGTAGTAGTTGTCATGATATCCTATAATTTCTATTTCCATTGTATCGTTTAACTGTACCAAAGCAGCATATTCCCTTTTGTACTTAGAAAGCCGTTATTATGGTTCTCCGATCTTGTTTGAGGAGCAGATGGCCGACATCAACATTGTAAAGTCCTCATAGTGATAGTGTTGAATAAATTGCCTGCGTTCAATGGTAGCTTTTACCAGTTATATTTTCAGGAGAACTCGATTGCATCACTTTTGTCTAGAACAGATATGGCACAGTGTCCAAATGTCATGTGCTGTTTAACTGTTCTTTAGCTAGACCTAATCTACACGGCTTTCTCATTATGGGTAATACAACAACATAAGACTGAAAATAGTTCTGGTCATTTAAATTTTTAGTTTTCGATGTAGTACATAGGAAGAATTCGAATACGAGAGTGATCTAGATGAAGGACACTAAACCTCGTAAGTAAGTTGATAAGCTAATTGAAGTTAACACTGATATAGCACAGCTGCCTTTGTACTATTGTGACCATTAACCATTCTGTCACTTGAGCCCGTGAAACTTGGTGTCCAACTCGAAATCCATTGTGAATATATGTTGTTGCACCGTTAAGCTAAGCACATGCTACAGCAATCTCATTCGATTGGTGTTTATATAGAAAGATTTGCCTTTACTGGGAAGTTTATGTCAAATATTAAAACAACTCAATAAAGCTGCCATTATCCACAGCGATATTTCCAAAGCACCACTTACATATAGTTTACTTATTTAACCCATCTCCGGTCACGTTTTACGATTGTGTTATGGGTGAAGAGGTGGGCGAGCTGTTTTTTTTGTCTGAGTTCCAATGTATCGCAGTCATGGTGAATGTAGAGTCTGGCCTAGATATTTGTCACCCAAATTATCGTACCATTTCACCAGAGCGAGATGAAATTAAGTTAAATGACAGGTCAAAATGGTAGACTAATCACATGAAAAGCATGATCTGAAAAGAAGTTATGGGTGAACTAATATATCAACTCATAACTTAGGAGTAGGTAATAGTGATTACACATCGAGGTAAGTTTAGTTTCAGGATACGCAGTGTATGTTCTACGCATCTCAGGTGATGCAGCTCTACAGTCATGTCAGCTGCATTTCCATCGTTAACCAGATTTTTACGTCCAACTTCACTTTTTCTCATTCCCCTCATTCTTGAGCAATGTGTGTATTTCATCAACTACCAGTCGGACTTTCTTATTCACAATAAACTTTGTTTGTTTAAGTTATGTGCATCATCGTGATATTCTGGCCTCGTTAGTATTCGATTTGCCAGGTTTTTTTAAGCCTATGAACTTTCATCGTTCTAGAGATTGTGTTATGTATAGTACTTGTAATATTGATTAGGAAGTCATATTTTCCTCTACAGGTTGCTGGATTGCATTGCAAAGCTTTTCGGTTAATCTTTCGAGCTAACCAGCTGACTTCCATCTGGTGTACAAATTATGAGCTCACAAGGTTTACCTCCTGGATGGTCTATGGGTTATGATAGTATCACTGGTTTCCCATTTTTTATCGATCACATTAACAAGTCAACTACATGGGAAGATCCACGAAAGTCTAAAACTCAAGTGAGTCTATATCAACATAACCGTTAACAAAATTGTGTCCATACAACAACTTCAAACAATAATAATGCAATTGTTTGATTTGATGGTATGTATATAATGCTTAAAATCATAGCTTGAAACCGTTACAACATATCGTCTTTATTTAGCTATTCCACCTTTCATAACCAAGTTGAAGCTTAAATCATCGAACGAATGGTACTAAACAGCTGTTTTTTCATTACCTCTGTTGGTGTGTTTGACCTTTCGACTGTTAATCAATGATGAATGTAATAATTTATAGTCTTGTAAAGTATGTATTCGTCGTGTGTAGTTAATGGTTTGGGTTTATAAAATTGTCCTTTGATTGGCAACCTCATATGTACTAATAAACTTTCATCCTTTAAGTGGTTGTACTATTAACTAGTTTTCCCGTTGGCCTGTTCTTTCTCTACTCTTACCAGACCTTGAACTTATATTTTTTTGTTTTTAAAAATAATTAGATTAGGTCTCTTTATTCAGTTATTATGGAATTTTGAATCACGAAGCTACTACTACAGTAATTTAATTGAATAATTTCATAATAAAGATATTTTAAAAATTGTACACATAAAATATAAGGCATTTCAATTCTATGTGCAGGTATATAGTTAGGGGGTTAAAGTTACACCAATAATTTTCTTGCAATTTTGATCAACTGATGAAAACAGATTTTTTCGAGAAGGTCAAGGGTTTGTCAATATGTTAGAAACTTCAATGGTGATTCATAACTAGGATGATCGTCGAAGTCTTTTGTTGATAGAAGTACTAAATATACGGAATCTCCTATACTTTCTAACCTCTAAACCAATATTGATAATTGTTGACAAACTAAATTTAAGACAGTTTTCTAGAAAGACGATAGTACTGAATAGACTAAATTTTAAAGATTTTCAGGGATATTTTAAACAATAGGAAGTACTCTTATGAACTCTAAATTTAGTAGAATAAAATTATTGTCCTCAGTTGGATTGTTTACTGAACAGTCTGTATATATACTTATATTGTTTCCAACAACAGATACAGATTAATACAGACACCACTGTTACCAGTAATTGTGTACTTATCGGCTCAATATTAGCAAGTTGTATATGTATAATTTAGGCAATAGAATGATCACTTCGTGGATTGGTTGGAGTTAGACATTAACACCGTTGGATGCCGGCTCAGTGGTCTAGTGGTCAAGTGCTCGCGCGCGAAGCCAGTAGGTCCTGGGTTCGAACCCCGCGTGGTGCGGGATCGTGGATGCGCACTGATGAGGAGTCCCATACTAGGACGAAACGGCCGTCCAGTGCTTCCAGGTTTTCCATGGTGGTCTAGCTTCAATCGACTCATGATTTCAACCTATGAAATTTCTAAAAAAACTCTCCACAAAGCTCATTCTGATAATTTTCAATAAGTTTAATTCTGTCAACTAAGTACACTCAACGCAACACAGAGTTGTACTGAACGAAAATTCATATAACTTTGGTTGATTAATTTTCAACTGTCACTTGCTTCAGTAGGATCCAGTTATTTCTTAAAAATAAAGAGTTTAACTTACATATTCCTACGTCAATCCGAATGAGGTCTATGATTGTGTTGTTTTTATAAAACGGTGAAGCGTTTTTAATCCAACTCAGCCAGTAAACATTCAGTCAATATCCCCTACTTGTCTATAAAATATAACTAAGGAGCAAACTCTGATAACTGTCTTACTTTTTTATGTCGAACAAAAATAATGTGATTCTTAAACAGTTTGTAATTTTTTATATACCTAATTGTAGAATTCTGGCTGTTCCATTCTATTTTTGGCAAAGCATCATTGAAATTCTGTATTTTAGACGAAAAACAATACGAAACTGCTATTAACACCCTATAAGCCTATAAACATCTCCCATCATAACTGAATGTATAGATCAATAATTCAATTTTCATATTTCATCAGCTGATATCGACTATAACGTTCTTTTAGAATATCTTATTCAAAATAGTTTATTTGAAAAATTCACTTTTATTGACTGGATTGTAGCGTGGAGTCGAGTCTCAGTTGACTATGAACACCACTACAAGAAGACTACGTGCCAGTTGACCGATAAAATCCCCCGTAAGTCAGAAGGCAGTTGATGGCTGTAGTCGAGATGTTTTTGTTGGCGATCTCGTGGTATCGAAAGGATACCGAGATCGTGCCAAAGGAGTACAAGCGTGGTTACCGAGCGTAACCGAACCCATGCAAGGTCACAATCCGCGGAAAAGTAATGGAGGAGTAATATGGCTGTCTTTAGCACAGTTAATCAAACGAGCACAGTAAAACAATCACTGGTACAATTGGTTATAATAATGATTGTTTCCATTAAATCAATCGCATTCTCTTGATAAAAGAAGGTCACTACACAGTAAACACACGTTATGAATACTGTCTAGTAGTAATGGTAAAACAAAATATTTTTCTGATAGATTGATCTTTTTGTGAATCTGTCGTTCGAATCTCGTAAGGCGGCATCGTAGATGATCATTGATGAAAAGTTCTATACTAGGATGGAACGGCCGTTCAATGCTTCCAGATTTTCAACGGTGGTGTCTAGCTTAGATCAACTCGTAAATTCATCTATGAAAATGCTACAATCTCCGAAAATTCTCATACTAATACAAAATATTTTTTTAAAGTGAATAGTTATCCTATCAAAGAAAGCGAGAATATGACATTAATGATATAGAATACAACGTATTCATCATTAGGTATTTTTGAGTTGCTTTATTTTTTAGCTACACACATATACAATCTAATACATTTAGTCATTTTACATTGTTTACACTAGAATTTAGAATTTACACAATATATATTGTTTAATTACAAAGTATAGACTGTAAAAGAAAATACTAAAAGTGATGACAGTACTAGAATATTTTAAGATCATTTTTGTTACTCAATATAATGAGAATTCTAAATGAGGTTTAGAAAGAACTAATCAGTTAATTAAGTTATGATTATAATGAATTGGATGATAGAAAAAAAAGAATAGAAGTCAATATACTCAGGTTATCATGACAGATGTTAGTTAATTACTTACTTGTTTAAACATAAAGGTCATGTTTAAGCTTTCTAAGTTGCTATGACTTCACTAAATTCCAATTATGTAGAATTACATTGTTATTCGATTATTTTGCATGAATGAATACATTCAGTCTGTCAGTCAACTACACTGTAGGACCAGGCACATATAAGCATCGGTCCAAGCTCCCATACCTCATTAGCACAACAAGATCAACACCAAATTCATAGAAGTAGTTAATCCAATGGTGGTAATATATAAAAGGAAGATTGCATATAAGGAAGAATTAGTTCGTAGAAAGAAAGATATGAAGCAATTTTAATTTCATAGTTTAAGGGGAGACAGAGAGTGTATACACCGACGCCATTGTGACCGATTCTGAGACATGTTACCCAGAGTCTCCAACCATTGGTTACGATAGTCACACGGACCCCAACCAAGTAGTCTATATCTCCCAACATGGCTCAGACTAGAAGTTAGTGACTTCAAGCACTGATGCCACGTTTTGTTTTGGCCGCCCTTAACTTTCAACCATCTCCAACACCAGTTAGCATTGCACGTCGTGGTAATCGGTGTTCAGGCATACCTAACACGTTGTATTCTCTTTAAGATAGCCACTCAAGATATTGCTCGAGTATGGACTTACAAAATGCATACCTTGTACGGCCTATATAACGTGCTCCACAAAAGCAAGTAAACTGATAAATGCAGACTGAGGTGACCCAAAGCGGCACTTTGACACTTCGCTGAATGGGTTTTTTGCTGGAGAAGACATTACAAAACGGCGAAATAAAACGTCGTTCTCAGGGATCTATATAATCTGTTCTTTCATATCTTAGGATCCGTATCCCCGTCGAATTCAATTTTCAACGTCGGAACTTCCCTAGGAACTGTAGGAATACTTTTAACTTGATGTTTTGATTTTAGATTACTATCAATGAATCTGGGTAGGAAGCCATTCTTGAAGAGTTTTCACTGGACTATATTCAGCTCATCATCAAGTGCTTGTCTTCAGAGCATATTCGTCTGGTTCTTGAGAATGGATTAAATTTATCCTTCTACTCAGAGATACATAACTCTGGAAGTTCGTATACTGTCCGTTCCAAGTAGGGTTTCTGAATCACATCCGATACATGAATAAGTTTGACTATCTTTGATAATTTATTAACACTCCTCTATTTTACTATAGACTAATTCACGTAAAAAAACTAGCGATAAATACGATTGTACAGTTTCAAAAAAATGATATCGTCAAAAAGAAAAGATTTTCTTTGCTGAAGTTAATCTAAGCTGTGGAGGTCCCGTATTATAAGGAATCTTCAGTCCATTGCTTCCAGGTTTTTCAACGGTGGTCTAGTTTAAATCGATTAGTCAATCCAACTGTGAATATACTACAATCTCCAAAAATCCTCATACTGACAACCGAGGAATGTTCTGATCACTTTTCTTTTTCATAAAAGAGGGGTGTGTGGCTCCCTAAGTAAACTACCTATTTTGGTCTGGGCACCCTGGTAATAGATATCACAGCCCTCACACAAATCATTGATAACTGCTACCGGCTTCATTGTTCTTGTGTGGCGCATATGTGTTTGGTTCCCCCTTGTACCAATGTTTATCTGTTCAAATAAATAAATAAGTCTATAAAAGATATCAGAGACATTGGTTATTTAAGAGAGTGGCTAAATATTGGTATTGATTGTACAGTTTGTTAATCTTATTCATGTTCTATTATTAATTACAACCTTGACCTTTGTGTTGCATATTAATCAACAAGCTTGCAAAGTAATTTTTCAAAATAAATCTATTTTAAGAAAAAGGTAGTTTAAAATGGTGCATATTCAATCATTTGTACTTACTATACGAAAATGTACTATATATATATATATATATATATATATATATATATATATATATATATATATATCTGTAGACCAACGTACTATATAATTCAATCATTTATTAATGACAGCTAAATGTTCGTTTCCAACACGAATGAACCGTTTCTGTAGTTTCTTATTTTTAGTTTTACTTCAGGTTTACAAACTTTTAAGAACAATAAAAATGTTACGTTTTAGATGTATAAAATAGTTATTTGAGAAAATGAATTCCTTTTTGTAATCGCTGAATTCATGAGTCGATGTAAGACAATAGATGATTGGTTGCGCGAGACCATGGATCGATTGAAATGAAGCATGAACATCGTTGAATGCCGGCTCAGTTGTTTAGAGTTTAAGCGTCCGCACGGGTGACATAAATCCCTGTGTTCGAGTCCCGCATGAGGGATTGTGGATGTACACTGCTGGGGAGTCTCATACTGGGACGAAACGGCCATCCAGTGCTTCCGGTTTTTCAATGGTGATCTAGCTTGTATCAACTCATGAATTCAACTATTAAAAAATTACTACAGTCTCCACAAAACCCTCATTCTGATCATGAGATGAATTCTCTTTTATGAGAATGACTGTTATATTTCAAAAGTTTATATGACTGAATTTGTTTACGCGCAATAATTCTTAGTTCTGAAGAACTGGGTTGAAGGAAAAATACAGGCAGTCAAGCCAAGATATGATGCTAGTCCATAGAGTTATTGATTGTTGGATTAAGGCGTGTTGGTAGGTGCAAATGACTTGATCCACGCAGTCATTGTGACCAGTGGTTTGAAAGAAATTGAAGGATATGAAGTGAGTTAAGCCGATCACAGTCCCCCACATGCATTTATTGTCTATCTTCCTTTAAATTTTTAGTTTTATAATTATCTCATCCTTTTTTTGTCAAGAATTCATTCTTTTCATATCATACTTTCTATGCATAATCTTTTTTACTACTACTTTTGACACTGTTACTACTTGCATTACTTTGGGATTCGTATTGATGATTTCACCTCGTTATAGTGATTATATATATCAAGTCCTACATTGCTTGTGACTGGCTGATTTACTGGGATTCTAGGCGAATCTTTCAAAATTTTCATGATCCCAGTCTACTACTGTCAGTATCTATTTATACCAATGTTTAAAATACTAAACATTTTGAAATTAAACTGCTTAGAAATGAATATAGTTTTCTGATTGAGTGATAATACTATTTATTTGTGTGGTGGAATTCAAATTAAGGCAGTTTATTATTTGTTGATAAGGCATTGATTTTTCTCGGAAACACGTTTTTTAATCCCTTTAAACTGGATCTTATGCAACTAATTGACATGTTTATATTCATCACTTAAAACTAACATGAAAAACATTTCTTTCCATAAAATTTCCTCTTTATTTATCTCATTGTGATGATGTTTATATCTCTTATGTAATTTAGAATTTTATAGTCCTTATCCTATATTCATATTTTTAATGATTTTTCCACTATATTTATTTCTATAATCTAGAGTAATATCACACAAAATTTACAATCTGTCCCATCTTATTCATCTGAATCTATTAATAATCGTCGACAATATAACCTTCCTGGAAATGAACCAGTGATCGATCCTTCCAATCCAGGAGATATTAAATTAGGCAATGTAGGAGATAACATTCAACGTAAAACTCAATCACATTATGATAATGTTAGTGAACCAATACCAATCAAGGTAAGCTGATATAGTTGTCTTTTGACTTAACTATGTGTGATGTTAACCATTATTATTTTTTGGGGGGACTTAATTTGAGAGCTCTATTGTCCTATATGATATTTCAAATAAATCTAACATTCACCTTTCCCCTATACACTCTCCAAGTGTCTTCATATCTAAAGGAGATCAATCGGTAAAGTGTTTTGGCATCTCTTCAATCAAGACTCAATTGTTATATCTGCTTTGGTATAAAAAACGGAACTTAACCACATAGAGTTAATCAATGATTTGACTGATAATCTCACTAAATTGAACAACGATAGTTAGCTATATTGGATTATAGGTTTCAACGTCATCGTTTTAACTATTTTCAACTGTGCTTCCTGAAAATCTTGTTGCCTTTACCAGATAGTAGTACTGAGATCCAGTGATAACTCTTTTCACATACATACATCTATTGGTCGACATTTCTATAACCCTGTCAAGTTGTCATTTTTAATTAGGGTTTCATCAGTGATCTTATAAACTAATGATCCAGCTACTGAATTATTCTGTCTGTACTTTTTCTTTCAGATACCTTTATTGTAAGAGCGAACCTTTCAGTTTCATTCACATTTATACACTGTTCTTCCCTTTATTTGTACAAAACTAAATTAAATAATTATGTTCAGTAATGTCTTTTGTCAATTGGCCTGACAACTATTTAGAAACCCTTTTATGGTTTTTATAGTTTAAATCACTTACTGGTCTTAGCTAAACCATTTTTGAAAACCTGATAGCACTGAACGGCCGTTTCGTCCTAATGTGGGACTTCTCAGCAGAGCGTATCTACGAACTCGCATCGGGTAATCAAACAGAAGACTTTCGGTCTCATGTCCAAACGCTTGACTTCTAGACCACTGGACAAGTATCTGATGACGTACATGTCTATCTTCAGTCAGTTCATGATATTGCACAACCCTCATCGCTTACCTAGAGTGAATATCTGTCTCACTCAACATGATTGGAGTCTGCCGATCACTGCTCACTAGAATTCCTGTAGTTGGATCTTGAAGCTTGTCGCTAGTGAGCACATGGTTATAACTACTACATGGGGTTTACAGAACTATGGAATTTTCGTAGTTTAGATCGTGAACTTAGCTAGTGTAATTGCCTTATACACTTTGAGTTTGGTATTTAATTTGTGTTCCTGTAGTTTAGGTAGTTCCATGTTAAGGTTCTTAATAAAGCCTCAAACCTGATCAATCGCACCTACTTGATCCTGCTGCCTTTCACTGTCCGAAAATTCGTGCATTTCCAGTCTGGCACTATCTGCATATTAGTTTAAAGACTTTCACGCTCAAGTAAACCTTTTTATCACAGCCTTTTTGCTTAAATCCTTTTTTTTCCGGTAGATAAACTACATATCTAATTGTTTTTCTCAACTATTCACATGATAATCTATTAGAAAATTCTCCTCTTTAAAATTATAACTACTCATAAGTAATATGGCTGGACTGTTTAAGCACGACATAGCTCTCTATTTATACACTATTAGACAGGTATAGGTAATTAATACAATACAATGATGGATTGTTTTTGTGCCCATCGATAAAATTACAGCATGTTCGTACTTGTTACTTCAGTAAACTTTGTTTTTTTTGGCGATATTATTTGGTATCACAGATTGTTCATCAAACAGTGCCCGGTTTGACTTCGGTGATAATCCTTCCATCGTATCGTTTACATCTTGAATAACCAGAGATCAATATTTCTAGTTGTGAGATAAAATGTGTGTGGTAGTTTGAATACTTGTCAAAATATGAGTTACACTTGAGCGTTGCAAACAACCTTACTGATTAATAGCGTCAATCAATAGCGCTCAATGACCAGTTTGATTACGTGTTAGTTAACGTTCTCATTAACAATTAGAAAATAAATTGTTGTTTACACTACTACCTGACTAGCTGTTTATGTCAATGTGACTTTTGTTGTTGTTGTTATTCTTGCATTATTAATCATTTGACTTGAACATATTGACTATAGTTGTTTTAGAATTGTATATGTTATTAGAAATATTTTCTTTCATTTTAACAACTCTTACCAAGGTGCATTCTATCAGCTCTTCGAATAATAATAATAACAATAATAATCATAGTAACCATCATGAATATGAACAAAAGCTGAGCAACACCCCAGCAACTCAGTCGTTTGATTCGTATAAACCTAATCAAAATTCTTCCACAAATAAAAACGAATCAATTCCTATCAAATCTGTTTCTGTTAAAATTTCAGATGATAATAATAATAATAATAGTGATAATAATGAAAATGTATCTCAACCAACAACATCAGATCCATTCTCTCTTATAGAACAAGCTCAATGTGAACTTGCAGAAATAGAAACTGAGATTAGCGGGTTTACTTGTGAGTTGACTTATTTATTTAAAATATTTTGTACCGTATTATATACATATATAAGTATGTATATGTATTAATGAATCCGATAGTTTATACTGTGGAAAAACTCAGGTATAAGCGAGCAATATTGTTTTCATTTAGCTTTACTCTATTTTACAGTGATGTATATATATAAAAATCTTAAACCAATCAAGACAGTTTATGGGTCAATGAAAAAGGATTACATAACTAATCGTTATAAGTAAATTACACAAGTCGATAATAGAATAACAATTGTAGTAACAATGGTACGAATAATGAACGAAATGATGATATGAACAAACTTATTGATATATGAAATGGGTCAAAGCTTAAGAGAATAAACTGACCAAGATACTAATCATTATAAATTATGTAATAGGAAATGCATGTTAGCAGTCAAATAAAACATATAAGTAGTAAAAAAGGAGTTACGAAGATGTCGACTGGAGGGGGGATCCGGATGAACTTACAGATGCCAGTCCTGTGTAACTGTCTTTCATACCAAGATTTATGTCATAAACTGATCATCCTTTTTCCATTAAATTCCGATGTATGCTAATGATAAATAATATGGAAGTCTGTGGAACAATATTCGTAACACGTATTCAATATACTGAAGTTCGATTTGGGTATACTATATCATGATTTCATACTAAGGATGGGAGAGTTTCCCGAAGACATCCAAACCACAACTACATGCTTCACAGTTGTCTTCAGGATATCATCGATGCATAAGTTTGGGGTCGGCCAGGAGTCTTCAACTTCACTTTTGACCTGAGACAATGGAGAGGTGGTTGTACGCTCTCACTCTGCCTGAGGTGTTTATTTACAGTGCATTTAGTTTATTCATATACTTCTCAGGGACCATTCTTAATCCAGGCTTGAGTTTCAGAAGCATTGCATCGATTAGCTTATCTGTGATTACACCATTGGTGGTTGATGTTCCTCATGCCAGTTTTTCAGTTTGGGAGGAGCCTTCCACCCTACTAACACATGAACAGTTGTCAGTGGGAATCTGATAAGTGGGTCTCGATTTGGCTAGGGCACTTAGTGCGACATCGGTACCAGCTAAAATATACGTCGATGGTACGGGGCCTTTGAGTGAGCGTATGTGAAACAGGTTTTTGGAATCGACAAATAGAGGTTACATTCTCATTTCCTTATTAGAGTCTTGTATCGAAGTCTCAAAAATTCAATACTTCAACATTATGGTTTTTCAAAAGACAGCCTAAGGTATCGTCAGCAGTGTGAATAACCAAAGAACGATATCGTCTAAATGCGTAGTGACTCAAAGTTTCTAGAACATTTTTTCGTAGTTATCCATCAATGTGTTTGTATTTGGGATGTGGTACTCCCTGTATTCCTAAACCGAAGCACATGTTTTCTTAAGGTATTACCTCTTTAGTCTTTGATCTGAAGGTCTAGTCCACAAAGGATTTGAACAACCTCAGAAGATCTCAGTCCCATGAAACCTGGTAACTAAATCAGGTTTATACACCACACTTTTCCTCAGGGTCGTATAGCTCATTTACATCATTGAAATCAAGATTTTCCAACTCCACTAGATAAAACTTTATCCAACGACCCCTGTTCTAGTCTCTTGAACACCCGCTTTTCGGCTTCACTTTGGTAGAAATTACCATTACTACATGTAAGCAATAAGTGTGGCTTGCAATTTTTTTAAAACAATATTGATAGTGACCCATTTTATTAGTCAAGCATAAATACTAATAAAATTACGTGAGGATGGTTGTATCCCCAACTGTGCGTTGAATTTCCCGACAAATTAAATTTAATCTGAATAATTTATACTGAAGGCATAGAAGAAGGTTTCTATTAGTTCCTTTCAATAAATTCAATTATTGTAGTTATCGTTGTCTTATTTTTGTGATTCATATAATGCTATTTGTTTACTTACATAATTATTTAAACACGTAAACATAGGTACAGGAAGACATTAAATAGACGTGCGTCACAAAAATCATTCGATTTGTGTGAGTGTTAGGAAACTGCCCGGGTACTCAAACCAAAGCAGGTGCTTTTCTTAGGGAGCCACACCCCGAGCCTTTGACCTAAAGGTCTAATCCATAAGGCAGTGAAGCAACGTAAGGATATACAGTCCCATGGTAGCTGGTGACCAACGATTGGTTCATACGCGATTTGTTTCCTTAGGATCCCGGATTCCATGTACACCTTTGTTTTGAAACGAGGGTTTTCCAACTCCCCTAGGTGGATCTTCCATATCCACCAACCCGGTTAAATCCGATTACTAGAAGACTACACCGATTTAAAGTATGAATGATCCTTTTATACTTTCATTATGATGAAATTAATGAATCTTTTTTATATTCTCATACATAATTTTATCCAACTCCATGTTGATATATATTTATATATTTTTTCCAGCTTCATATAAAACTAAAGCGTATCTGTTGCTCGAAGATAAACTTGATAAGCTTATGCTACGATTGGATAAAATCGATTCATCTGGTGAAACATTTATCAGAAATAAACGTCGTGAAGTTATATTGGCTGTTCAAAATGCTCTTAAAAATCTTGAAAATAAACTGACACAAATAAAATCAGATCATCAAGAGCATGATATCAGTTTAACTGATCAATCTTCTTCTTCTTCTAATAACAATAATAATACCAATCATAATATAAATAAACAAGATCACTCATCTATAGATTCTAGAGAAATTCATATAGGTTCTAATGAAGAATGTCAAGACAAGTAGATCATTCTCTATGGTACTTTATTTTATTCTTTAAAACTTCAATGTAGTTCAGTATTTTCCCGTCTACATTATAATATTTTCTGATTATTATTATTATCATTATTACCATTATCATGTGAATAGTTTATTTGCTTGTATAAAAAAAACTAATATGACCATAATTGATGCGTTCATTACTGAAAAGTCTTCTTAGTCGCTTTATCATGCTACGATAGAAATCTTAAACTTTTTCTCCATCCTATTCATATCAAGATATGACGATATTAACTTCTTTTGTCACCATAGTCGGAAGTTGTCTCTGGTATTTATGTTATGTTCACATAAAACATAAAGAGAAAGTCCGGTTATACTTGATTTTGAGGGGGCTTTTTAAATATAATATTTTTATTTCATAGTCACTTTGTGGTAACTTCATTGATCTCCTTACACAAAATTTGTCAAACTAATTGACTGTAATTGATTTACAGTAGTAAACTCATCGTGAGCTATGGCAAGAGTGTTATGAATACTAGTAACAACATGGCAACTTAAATTTAGTAAGGCAGTCAATTTCAGTTCATTTATTACGAAAAATGAGTTATGTTAATAGGCAGTGAATGTTCAAGTCATTCAGTCGTTTTTTGTTATCCAAGAGGTGTGAGTTATCCAACATTTTTGCTCATTTGGCTGCATATAAATGATTTTTATCAGCCTTCATTTAAAGCCCTAACTCACACCTTATTCGTTTTTCATCTGGCATGTTGGGATGCACTGCACTAAAGTGTATTCATAACAGACAGATGTGTGAAATGAAGTCCCCAGCAAGGTTACACTTTCATGCAGCACCCACCTATTAAAGGAACAGAACAACGCTGTATACTGCACATCTAATAAAAGGTCGGATAACCTCAGCCAGCATAAAAATGACGAGTATGTTCTCGATAAAAATGCGTTATGTTGCTCACATTTGGTGGAATGCACTTATCAAAACGCTTGTTCATGCCGGTCATGGAGTAGACTATACATTCAATATTTGCTATTGACTGATTCGTCGATTACGGTCGCCCAGTTAGTAGACAGGATGCCTACACCTAAACCCGTTTCTGCTTATCGATCCAATCCTGTCGTCCATTACTTTGTGATCAATATGAACAAATAATTTCTGTTTTATATAGTTCCCCATATTTCTAATGAATTTGGTACTGGCTGTGTAAACATGTATTGCTGAAGTTTCGACCAACTATCAGTGTCGTCATACGTCTTAATTGGTCAAGTTACCTTTATCATCCTCATCACTACTACACGTAGCTCACCAACTCTCATTATTTTCGTCATAAACCTCTTTGAATGTTGTGTTTATCACTTGGAAGTCCTTTTTGTTATTATTCTCACTAGACACTTGATATTCTTACGAAGCAATTTTTACACAGGTTTTTTTTCAGTGGTCAAGTTGTGACTGGTTAATAGGAGTGGTTAGTATTCGGATTTCGACACGTAAACTAGCATTTCGGTAGCCCCTGTATTGTCATTCAGTCTTACTAAGACACACCAACTCAAGGAAATTGGGATCGACGCAATGGATAAAAAAGGGTTGAAATAGTAGTAATGTCAATGATAGTGTGAAAACCTAAACACTGTACAATGCATTGTGGAAAGAAGACGAATGTGGGTAATGGCTTGTGTGAAGTAACTGTTGGGTTTATGTTTTAAAAGAAAATAAACAATGGTTTAGACATTGGTGAGCAAAACATCATGCATGGACCCCAGCCTGGTCTACATCTGCTTGGGGAGGAGTATATCAAATGCGCACTTAAATTTTCAGTTGAGCAAGCGTCACTTCAGTAACCTGTGTAACAATCAAGGCTGCTGAAATTGCAGAAATAAACTAAGCTTATTGACCCAGCAACGAAATAATCCATTGGATTGTTCAAAGTAGGTGTCGGTACGATTCAGAGTATAAATTAGTGGAAATCCTGTCTTGACCAGTGGGCGCCCAATGGTATATCATAAGGCAACAACTTATGACCAAAAACGGATAAGTTTACATTTTCTGTTGTGTCTACATATCAACACCTAAATATTCTCTTGTAGTGGTAACTTTGTTGAGTTCACATATAACTTTCGAATACATTTTGCTTGTGGTTATATTGAATAGTATAGCTAGCGATAATAAGATCGTTGCACACCTGTTTATCATCACAAAGATACGATGTTTAGAAGTGCGAATCGACTTTTAACTTATATCAAAATTTAGTCACATTATGTTAGACGGAAGTTCCCGTTCGTAATTAGCAGCTACAATTTCACAAATTACTCACTCAAGTGTTCCAGTCTATTTAATTTGTCTGTAAATATTGTATAATTGGGTTCTTATTCTATTGGTATTTTGTTCTGGAGATAAGGGCGCTTGTAATTTTATAATTAATTAATAATTACAATTTGTACATTTACTATAAATGACTGTAAAAGTAGTTTAAAATAACATGCCCTATCAAAGACATATCAGCAGAAACAGTCGCATCAGTATTTCCTGGTCTTTGGGTCGTCCCATCAATTGTTACTACAATCTGTGGTTCCATGATTCAATCCGTTTTATTTCAGGATTTTGCCAAACTTCTGGGAGTGAACCACATCCAAAAAAAGTTTACCACTCCGTAGCGAATGGCCTGGTTGAGAGATTTCACCGTCGACTGAAAAGATCACTGATCTCACAAGCTGATACATCGAAGTGTAGCGACGCACTACCACTTGTACCACATGGGATTCGTTCAACTATCAAAGAAGATATCGGTTGCACATCAGCCGAATTAATCTATGGTACAACCCCAACGTTGCCAGGACAATTAGTCAACCAAGACACAAATGACCCTACTCGCTTTGCGAGCCGTCTATTGCAAACAATGCAAAATGTTGAAGCAATACTCCCCCCGTAAGCATAACAGTCTCATACAGCTTTAAAAACGCCTGAAAACATGTAACTCCGTCTTTGTTCGAGTCGTAGTTAAAACAACCATACGAAGGACCTCGTCAGAAAAAAAATCGGACAACTATACACTTCCCTATTAGCAGGAATGGAAAGAAGGAAACTATCTCTATAGATAGAATTAAAATTACTTTCCACGAAGACCAGCAAGACAAAGAACATGCTACAACAGCTACAGGACTTCTACCATTAATTACTACGAAATCAGAGCAAGATGAAAAACTAAGCAGCAATTCTACATTCTCAACACGCTCAGGCAAAACTGTATAGAAACCTATGCGTTACGTCCATTTGCGAAATAAAATAAACTAACAAATACACTACTAAATCCATCCGGTCTTCTGTCGAAAACTATTATTTTTCCACACAATATGTACACAATTAGTTTTATTTTCCGCGGTTACTCGTTTTATATCTTCTGAAAAATCGACAAAGCAATCTTGTCATTCACCATATTTTGAACCGCTCAATGCTGTCTTCAGAGTAATTCCTATTGAATTATCTTCCAACTGTCCAAGATCTTACTTCATCTCGACGCCAGTATGATAATTAGGATTATTCGAGTCATTGAATTAACTAAGAATTTCAGAAATAGTGCAATTTAAGACAGGTAAAACTAAATGAGCATAAATAAACCTATATTGTATTTGTAAGTGGTAAGCGTCCTCACCAATTTATATATATATATATATATATATATATATATATATATATATATATATATATGACCGAATAGCATCCTCCTACAAAGTGTAGGTGCCAAGTATGTAATCGTGAATGAATGGGTAGAAGTCAGAATCTAAAGGCATAATTGTCATAATATGGGGAAACAACATGTTGTGCGCTCCTTACGTCTAAATTTAGCTCTAGTTTGATATGGAAACTGTCGATTGATCCACTCATAACTCAGGACCGAAATAACAATAGAAGCAAATTTCAGTTCAGGAGCCGAAATTTTTCATCGTAAAGTACAAGTAATTAACCCACAGATATAATAATAATGATCTTTAACATTTTTCTGATTTTCGTGAGATCAAAATACTCCATGTTCAACATAATTACTCACCTACGCCTGTTACCTCTCATGGAGCAGCATAGGTCATCCACCAGCAGTCTCTATTCAACTCTATCCTAGTCAACCGTTTCCAGTAGCTGTTCATCGTTTTGATGACTGCTTCCAACTCTCGACGCAGTGTGTTCTTTGACCTTCGTTTCCCTTCTGGATTCCAAGTTAGATCTTGGCCCGTGATGCAGTTTGGTGATTTTCTCAATATATGTCCTATCCATCTCCAATGTCTTTCCTAATTTCCTCTACAACTGGAAGCTGGCTTTCTCTGCTCTACAGTAGGCTGTTGCTGATGGTATCCGATCAACGGACATTGAGTATCCTGTGTAGACATTTGTTTATAAATACTTGTACCTGGTTGTAGTAGTTTTCGAAGTCTCATCCCCGTACAGTAGAACTGTTTTGAAGTTCTTATCGAAAATTGTTTGATGTCTGTTGACAGTCGATTTGAGTTCAAATGTGGGAATGCCGACCTTTCATTGCTAATCCTTGCATTCACATCTTCATAGATGATGCCGTCCAGGTACGTGAGAGTTTCCATCACCTTCGGAGTCTCTCCGTCAGGTGTGATTACGTTGATGTTCTCCATGTTTTATTTTAGGATCTTAGAATTTTTGTGTATGCTGTGGCATACTTATGAAGTAGCGTCTGCTACTCTAGCTGTCTTTGCATGAATTTGTTGGCGTGTATGGGATAGAAGAGCTAAATCACCTGAAAAGTCCAAATCGTCCAGCTGAATCCAAGCTGTCCATTGTATTTCGTGCATCCTTCGAGATGTGAAGGTCTTCGCTGTCTATTCAACCACCAGAAGGAAGAGAAATAGGGAGAGTAAATAGCCATGTCTGATATCGGCCCTCACGTGGATTACGTCTGTCCACTGTCTTCTATGAACGTCTTTAAAGTGTGGTCCGTCGTCTGAATTCATATGATGTTGACAATCTACCCAGGTGCATCATAGTTGTAAGGTCCATCTCGAATGTCATGTGTGTGAGAATCTCTCCATGTATACACTTTCAGTTTGTTCCTATTGATTCTCATAGTTGTATACTGTTAGTCTTTTCGATTCCATTTGAGTTGTTAATATTTGCATTTTATTATAGTTTTTATTTTTCTTATGCCATGTTTCTTATTGAACTGCATTTATGTTGTTTTACTTGATACTTAGTCTTGGCGGCAGCTATATTGGTTTGTCCCTCCTGTTGATTGTGTTGCTTGTATTGACCGAAATTTTGCATTTTTGATTGTGAATTGAGGCACTCTTCCAGAATTGGAAACATTCTATGTTATAAAGCAATCAAATATTATCTTTCGAACAAATCTGTGCATGGTTTATCCAGACAGCATAGAATAGCATTTATTTGTTGCG